TAGCCTAGGGTTCTTGGTCATTTGTCGATTTACTCCCATATGGGAATGTTTAAGTTATTAGGAAGTGCAACTTGGCAAAGTGTCTTGAGTTCTATTTCCATGAACTGATCTATCTGCAATACTAGTTAATGGAAGAGACCTTTAATAAACTCCCCATCTTTTGTAAATTTAAAATGTTAAAAATATAGAAAAAGAATTTTACAGGAAATAGTTGCTGTTTCCAGTGCTTTACTGGGAGAGCTAGTGTACCTTGGCAACAGACCAAATATGGGGAACAAAAACGAGGGAGGGAATCTTGAGGTCTTTGTTCCAAAAATGCTAATTTTAATCAAGTTATTTAACCTTTAGATCTCTAGGAGCGCCTAATCTCAGAAAAAGAACACCCAGAAGCAGTCTCCCAGGCAACAGATGTATAAGTAATCACTTATGGCTTTAGAAAGTGCAAACAAATATCTTGGAGATTACTCAACAAACTAGAATTTAGCTTTAATCTTCTACATCAGCCCTTTCATGTACAGATTTTATCCTGAATGCTGATCTTAAGAACCATGAATGGAACTGCTCATGGAATGAAGCTTTCCCTCCTTCCTAGGAAGCCATTTTTGTTGGTTGGGGGCTACGATGGACCCCGTTTTACTCTCCCCACTATGACGCAGATTTTCCCCACCAAAATTATTAGTTCCCTTCAGGTACTGAGCTAGCCCCCTAGTAGCATGATAATATTTGTGGCTTTATAAACTGGAATGTCCCACCCTTTGACAGAATCTAATTTGGTTTTTGCCCAGCCCAGGAACTTATCAGAAGAAAAAAAAAAGCCCTGTTTTTAATATTACTTTTAATGGCACTGGAGACTGTATAACAGTGAACAATAATAAAGATTTTATGGGGTGGTCAGGAATTGGAAAGGCTGAGGAAAACGTTGGTACAACAGTATATTTTTCAGACAATATGGTGTTGTAGCAGCTTATTTTTACAAATTCTTGGTTCTTATCAGTGAGAGATGGTTGACTAAATATTTTGGTTTCAGTTACAATGTTTCTGCATATAGTTTCCTAATAACTGTTCGGGTTTTCTGGAAAGGTCACTCTTTTAGTGTATCAGATTCTTTCCCCTTTTCTGAAATCACGATATGTCTTCTTTCCCGAGTAGTCTATCACCGTTTCCTTTCACAACAGATCAGGGACTGCCTCAGTGCCAATTATATTTCTTCTTATATTTCTTCCCTGAAAATATAATCCTATTCCTTTTGGCCTGATTTGGGAGCTTCAGCCTGCTACCCAGTCACTCTTTGCCAAAATCTTAAACCCAAGTTCTTTGCATCTGTGTGAAAATGTACATCAGCTTTGGCTGACACTAGACTCTGACTTCTTAGATCTAACTCTTTCTCAGGTTATGTTTAACACAGCTAAGAGCAGGTGGACCTGTCTGACAGGTTAATATTCAAAAGGTGAACCTGTCTGACAGACTTTTTGTCAGACTCTTCAGACATCTACTCCTGTAGCTGAAGTTTTACTTTACTGAACAGTAACTGCCACTGAACTCAAAATGATCTAACTCTCCCCTTAGCACATAGCTGATCTTATATTTTCTTCGACTGGTACTGGCCAATCAGAGAAAAGGAGCAGCCTGTCTCTCAAGCTCAACATTCTAGAGCAGAGTTAACTTTCACTTCCCTTCTCTGATTTTGCTGCATTAGGAAAACAGCATTTTAAGTGTAGTCCATCACTGGGGCCCTCAGGAATGGCATACGGTATGGTGCACAGGGGGGCTGCCATCAGAGGGGAAGGAAAAGGCACTAAGCATGCCTTTGGCTCCACTGCAAAAACAAAATCCTTCTTTAGCATGGATTCTACCGATTCTACTCCCCTCAATCTCTTCTTGTCTGACTAAAATAATTTTTAGAAGTGTAAAGATATTTTCAGCCTCAGTGTTTCTGAGCACATATTTTTGGGAGGTTGAAAATATAGTTGGATTTTAAATACACAGGAAAGAATAATAAAAAGACAAAACAATAATCCTGTCTGAAAATCCAAGGCAAGCAAAGATGGCCGGCTTCAGCTGGGAGGGCAGGGTAGAAATTTGAAGAATAAATAAATAAGTGGCAAGAAGGAGGGGTATGTGTGCAAAGGAGGTAAGGTGGGTCTCCGTTTGAGGGGGTGATAAAAAAGGGTTTGAGGCACCCAAACAGAAAAATGGTAAAAGTGCACACACAAAACCCTCTAGTCCTGTTATATTTCCTTTGAACACAAAATTTCATCTAGCTATTATGGCTAATAACCACTGATGGATGTATCTTTCATGAATTTGTTTAATCCCTCTTTTAAAAGATTACAGCTTGGGGAATTTGTGCTGAGGCCAAAATTGTTACAGAAAGTATTTGATTATTGGCTCAGAATTCAACATACGGATGGAACAATGTTATCTCATTTATGCATGCAACAGCAGAATGCTAGTAAAGATCTATTTAAGGTCTCTTAGTAATGCAAAGTTAATTCCATGATTATGAAAACTAGTCCACCACAAGCAGACTTAATAACAGAAGGTCAGCTGGCAACAAAAAGGCTGATCAAAGTATTGCACCTTTACACAGCTAAGGTTTCAGAAAATAAGGACAAACTACTTGAATGGCATATTTCATATTATGTTTGTATGTTCGCAGGTCAAATGAGGTGAAGAATTGCTGTCTACTATGGTCTGTTTTTTATATCCAGAGGTCTGCTTAAAATTCCTGAAGCCACTGGTTCATGTGATTACCATGAGCCAAAGTACCTGGCTGCTTCTCTTGAAAATAAATAGCGATTACAAGATTTGTTGCACCACTTGCCTTCTCAGATGAGAAAAACCTGTTTTAAAGGGTTCAGCTGGGGGAACTGACTGCATGATTTGTACGTAGGAAGCTTGAACATTCTGTACTTGGAGGCATAGCTATATAGGATAGATATTTTAATACCTGTACAAATTACTATTTCTACAATATTTATGCTCTCAAGGCCAATGGCCAATCTGCTTATCCATAAACAAGCTCCAAGGCAGCTTTTGTTTAGCCTTTCCCAAAGAGAGGTGGAGACACGGGAGAGGAGGAGATGGACTGAGCAGATGGTTGGTTCACACAAGTTGTCAATGGTTTGGCATTACATAAAAGTTCCTCCAGGTGGATACTGCTCCCACTCCCTGCACATTCAATTGTCTGCTGCACTTCCTAGTTCTATAGTTTGCTGTTACATCCCAAGTGGGTCAACTAGGCTTTGCAGAAGCCATACTTCACCTGCAAACCAGAACTGGAAACCAATTTGCGGGCAAATAGCGCAACTAGTTCTGCCATGTGATTTCTGCTGAATGCAAAATCCTGCTGCTGTCTTAACCAAGGATCAGTCAAAATTCAACAGAACAGTGACAGTGAATGAGGTACTGCTGTATTTTTACCAGATTTGGATACATGAGTGTGTATGTTTAAAATGCTGAATTATAAATAATATTGTGTTATTTAGTACTAACAGTGTGTTTGGTGTTGAGAGCAAAGAAACTATGCTGGCCTGAACAAGATTGTGAAATCTCCCTGACCAACTGAGCTAAAATTTAAGCAGAATTCCCTTCTCTGTTCTCTCACATAGCCTGTAGGATGGTTGGCAGTGCTGAGATACTACCACTAAGAGGAAGATTTACTAAGAGTAGACGAGGATTTACCAAGTGTGTATAAAAGGACCACGCTTAAATTTATTAAATACAGATAACTTCCCTGAGCCTGGTCAGACATATTGTGGTATTCCACAGCTCCTTTGTTCTCACACCTCAGTAGCCTATACCATCTGGCAAGTAGTTGAATCCCTAGATTCTTAAAAAATAGCCTTTGGTTTCTGTACACTTTCTTCTAGGCCCATGACACATTATGATTTTTAATGTGTTGTGTCTGGGTTCCTCTGACCTCACTTTGACTCATACAGTCACATGTCAACTTATGTCCCAAGGGTGCAGGGTCTCAATTTGGAACTGGAGGGACTATAGTGCACGTGGGACAAGGTGCTTCAGCCTTTCCCATGTGCTGTTTTCTGATTTGAAACACCTCTGGGTGCTGCTGTTTGCCCCATTGGGGGACTGCACATGTAGCCCATCTGTACATATGCAGCCCCCCCCCCCCGAGCCACTGCAGATCAGGAAAACGGCACTGGGAGGTGAATCCCCCCTGCATTGTTGTCCCTCTTTATCCAAACTGAGGCCTCGTGCGATTGGGAATGAGTTCCCTTGCAGCTGATGTGTGACTAAGTCGAAGTCAGGTCACAAGAACCCAGTTACAACAAGATACAAAATGTTAAAAAGCACAAATGTGGTTTCAGCTTCAGTATTATGGACCTGGAACTCCTTCCCCAGTATCCTGGATGTGGACTGCACCCAAAGGGAAGGCAATTGAAAATACACTGAAAAAATGGAGATGCTTTGACAATAACTGCTCACGTAAGGAAGTGAAACCTTGATCACTTGTGAAAATGTAGTTGTGTTAGAAGAGAAAGGTACAAAAATTGCAGGAAAATATGATGAAATAATAACCTGCAGAATGAAGTTTGGTTTTTTGTTGAACTAAATTAACTAGAATGGATAAATTGAAAAGTGTTACTTCAAAAAATAGACTTAACTAAACATCCATCTGTCTGTCTGTCTGTCTGTCTGTCTGTCTGTCTGCCTATCTCCTGAACCAATAAGATACAGTCCAGAAGTTTAAAATCCAAGATTCCTAAAATCATGTACAGCATGCTGTCACGTACAGATGAAGCAAAATAAGAAAAAACAACATAATTCAGGTTTTAGAGAAACTGTTGCACGAAGTATCAAAACCACATTGATTAACATGTCCCCTATTGGAATGAAGTGAAAGGAAGTTTATTCTTTTTTAAACAACAGTGCCACTCAGTGGTATTATGATATATGGCAAACACTTGAAATGAACACACCACAAATGAAATCAGTGGCCTTTGGGATCCCCAATGACGTTACAGGCAGAAACATACCATGAGTTGCTGTAGCAACTGTGGCTTGGACAGCACTTAGGTTCTGGACAGGAACCGACCCTTGGGGATCACTTCCTGTAACTACATCTCCTAGTAAATAAAGTTAAAAAAAACTTTACCATAACAGAACAGATCTTCCAACTGATTATAAACAAAAATGAGGAAAAGAGAGTGATGGTCTTTCAAACGCACAGTTTTTAAACATAAAGAGAAGTGAACTAGTTTTAAGAACTGTGAAACCCATAAACCTAATGTCTTTAGCATATTTTTCTTACTATTTTAGGATATTAATTCCTTCCAGTTTTGGGCCACATTCTCAAACACACACAGAACATGAGATTCTAAAGAATTCTTGAAATCAATGAACTACAGCTTTGGTAAGAAAACAACAATAATTAATTTACTCTTAGGAATAATGTTCATTATTTTACAGAACAGGTGTTTACATAGTAATAACGACAAAAATGCTCCTGGATACTTGATTGGACAAGAATTTTGTGACATTAGAGACCAGGTAATGATGGAATTTTGGGGGACTGTACTGTAAACTTCTTAATTTAAGCTTCATTTATACATATTCCATAACAGCAAGAGCATATATTTAAAATGAGGGAAGTATAAATAATTGATCATTATTTATTGATAACTCCCCTGCAATTTAAACAGAATGATGTATCATTTGGGTTAATAACAATATTGACAAAATATTTTTACTAGCTGCTTTCCTGCCATTGGGTGAATTCCTTTCCTGAGGTTGATAGGTGGTCTGGCAATATTAATCTCAGCCTCTCTGGAGTTTAAATGTATAGAGAACCCCCCCCCCCCCTTGACTCAAGAGCTATGTGTAACGATATGAGCTTATGTTTGTATTTCTGTATAGTGGTGATGCTGCTTATGTGTGTCTCTAGCATGAATACCTATGCATTGTGTATTCAGGGATTGCTGTATGTTGTGTGTTGCTTTGTTCTGCATCTCATGCTTGCCTAGAAATAGGCTGGCCTGGGCCTGCCGTTGCACATACGGACCATGTGCGTCCCTGGAATGTATCCCATGACTCTTTGGGATGGAGAAGACACCGCGCCATTGCACCCACTTGGAGAGCTGTGGAAAATCCCCAGCGAACCCCGGCATTCTTGGAATGGAAAGAGCAAGTGACCCTACTCCCTTAATCTGGTTTGGAGATCTAAAGACAATAGCGTTTATGGCTTTGGAGCAGGAACCAGATCTGCAAATCAAGAGGTGTCCATGGGAACGGAAGATTCACACCTTGCCAAAAGGCACCTTTGATGTAGGAGTAGGATCTGCATATTGCCACCACCCCTCAGGAGAGCGTCATCCCCTCGTCACCCCCTCTTCATCCAGTAGTGATAGTTTAGAGGACGGGTTTGATAGTTTATGGCTGGATAGCACATGCCCCAAAAAGAGTTTATTTAAGGAGAAACTCTCCTTTGTCTCTCTGGTTAACCCACCCTTCCCATAGCAGTGCACTAAGGTGCTACAAGTGACTCTACTACTTAAGTTCTCCGGAGTCGCGACCCAGAGAGCTCACACGTGGTTTGGCTGGTCCTACCTGTGTGCCTTGGAGTTCACGAGCTGCTGCTTTCGGCTGCCCAGCGTTCCAAGGAGGGGAGTTCTTCCTCAGCTGGACCTCAGATGAGTATAGCCGTGCCCCATTGTGTCTTCCCCATTTTGATGCTTTTGTTATTTTCTATGCTGTAATTGTTCTAATGTACTTTTGTAACTAAGGAGCTTGTATGAATTTGTGTGATTCCGATTTTGTATGCCTGATGAAAAACCTTTAGTAAAGACAACATTTATTTAAGGACTAGCGTGTTGTCTCACTTCCTGGGATATAGCCGAGCGTCTCATTCGCCATCCGACCTCTGTATAGACTGGTATAGAACTTACGCACAGCCACAAACACCCAATTTTCCTTGGTAGATAACTTGGATTGGGTCTCCAGGAATTTCCTGGAGAAGTTGGCATAACAGATCACAATAGTTCTGCATAGTACTGCATAGTAAAACAGTCTGATTTTAATAAATGTCTATATTCCTCCCCTTTCACTATAATTCCAATTAGATGAAGCTTGGAGCTCCCTAGAGAGTTATATAGTAAATCTAATTGCAGAGCATCCAGAGGCCAATGTTTTACTTCTTGGAGATTTAATTTTTAAAACTGTTTGCAAAACTCTCTAAGTGTGAGTTTCACCGATCTGAAATTGACTTCCTGGATTACCACATTTCGCACAAGGGGCTAGAAATGGATCCAGCCAAAGTGCGCGATGTGGTGGGGTGGGAGGCGCCAAGGACCAGAAGGCAATTACAAGCATTCCTTGGTTTACTGGTCCTTTCTCCCCAACTTCGCCCAGGTGAGTTTACCGCTCACGGATCTGCTGAGAACTAAGGGGAAAGGCCCCGAGTGCACTCGGCCCGGGGCACAGCTTGTGTGGACAAATGACTGCCAGGAGGCGTTTGAGTGCCTTAAAGATCTGTTTACTTCTGAGCCGGTGTTAGCCCACCCAAACGAACTTTAAAAGTTTATTGTGCAAGTCAACACTTCTGATGTTGCAATGGGGGGGCGATCATTCAGGAGGGGGAGGATGGGAAACGACACCCCTTGGCGTATGTTTCCCGGAAGTTCAATGACGCTGAGCGTAACTGACCGGTTTGGGATAAGGAAGCGGAGGCCATCAAGCTGGCGCTTTCTACCTGGCACCACTGGTTGGGTCCCTTTTGAGGTGTGGACTGATCACAAGAACTTGGAAGTTATGTGCACTCCGCACAATCTGAATGCCAAACAGCTCCGCTGGGCTGACTTCTTTTCCAAGTTCAATTTCACCTTACACCATTTTCCCGGGAAAGCGAACTCTCTGGCTGATGCTTTGTCCTGCCTCCCGCAACACGACAGCAAGCGGGAGGGGGTGCTTGACTCCATGTTCATGCCTACACAGTTGGGAGGTGTTGTAGTGACACGTAGCCGAACCTCAGCCCCTCCTGACTCTGCCTCTACATCTGGATGAGAGGGGAAATTTGCTTCCGTGCTCTCTGAGGCGGACCATCTGGAACTGAGCAAGGAGGGGGAGGTGGTGGAGCACCCATACAGATGTTGGTACAAGGGTGCCAAATTATTCGTTCCTCTGACACTGTGGGGGGAAATTATGTCTGTGGTTCATGGCAACAAACTGGCCGGCCATTTGGGGTTTGTCAAATCCCTTCATCTCCTCCAACGACAATTTTGGTGGCCTGGAATGAGAAAAGACTTATCGCTTTTTGTTCAATCATGCCAAACCTGCATTATGTGCAAAGCTCAGCCGGGTAAATCCCCAGGGGTGCTACAACCTCTGCCTACCCCTGGACGGCCCTGGGAGGTCATTTCTATGGATTTTATTACTGACTTGCCACCCAGCAAGGGAAAAACTGTCATTTGGGTGGTTGTGGATTTGTTTTCCAAACAAGCACATTTTGTGCCATTTAAAACCCTTCCTATGGCCCGCATCTTGGCCAAGGCATTTCTTCAACATATCTTCCGCCTGCATATGCTACCCTGGAAGATTATCTCCGACCGGGGGTCCCAATTTGTCTCCAAGTTCTGGGGGGAGCTCATGTCCCTCATGGGGGTCAAAAGAGGCCTCAGTAGCACCTATCACCCCGAGAGTGATGGCCAGATGGAAAGGGTTAATCAAACCTTGGAACAATACCTCCACTGTTTCACAAACTACCAGCAAGACGATTGGGAGGGTCTCCTCCCTTTAGCTGAATTTTGTTACAACAATGCTTGTCACTCATCGACTGGTGTTTCCCTGTTCATGGCTGTGAATGGTTATGAGGCACCTCCCATCCCGTTTCTGTCGGAGGGGCCTCTCCCGGTTGGGGAGGTGGGCGACTGGTGTCAACGTTTAAAAGACGTGTGGCCCCTTCTTTGCAAGACTTTGGACTCCGCTAAACTAGTCTATAAGTCCCAGGCCGATAAGAAACAGTCTGAGGCATGGGAAGTGAAGCCTGGCAATTCTGTATACATTTCCACCAAAAACATCAGGAACCTACGGCCCAGACGTAAATTGGGGGTGGAAGTTTATTGGTCCTTTTAAGGTCTTCCACAAGATCAATGACGTTGCTGTGGAGGTGGACTTGCCTAAGAATTTAAGGCACTTACATGCTGTTTTCCATTCAGCCTTCTCCGTCGTGATCCTGGGACTAATGCTTGGCAACCGCAAACTGTTTGCCCACCCCCCATTATCGTTGGAGGCAAAAAATATCATGAAGTTGGTGATATTTTGGCGCAATAAACTGTACTATTTGGTTGAATGGGTGGATTTCAGTCCACAACACAGGGAGTGGGTGTTGGCAGACCATGTTTCCACTCCTCGCCTTATCGAGCGTTTCCATTGCCGCTTTCTGGACAAGCCGGGGGGCAGATCTTTGGAGGGGCAGCATGTCAGGTAGCCCTGTCATGGTGTTGGAATGTGAGGGGGTATTTTATCTCCCTCCCGTTCTCAGCGCTTTTCTGCCTAGTGCGCCACTATCTGCACATTAGCCTTGAAGATGTTTTTCTGTAATTCTCCAGGCCTGGGAACTGTAACTGCTTTAGGTGCAAAATTGCTTGCTTGCTGGCAGGGCCCGCGCGTGAGAGAAAACTTCATTGGCTTTTCAGGTGGGGGGGGTGTTTGAATATTCTATAAGTTAGTAGCCATCTTATTACAGGTCATTCTTAACACAGGCTGTATACATGTACTTTAGTTCTGCGTTACCATAATAAACACTTATCTTCTGAAGAAGCCTGGGTGTGTGGATTACCTGCCTAAAGTTCCTGACATCAGGATGGAGGAAAACATGGCCCTGGATGTAGGCTGGGTCTTCCATGCCATTTTAGTCCATGTGCACTATCCACTAATTGTAGCTTAAGAAGATCCTAGAGAGGTAGGGACAAGGAGGATCCGTGATACAATCCTTTGCAGAGTTAATGCAGTCTGAAGCCCACTAAAATCAAGCCCACTAAACTCAAGTGTGAAGCCCACTTAGACTGGAGTAACTCTGCACAGGATTACCCTTCATTTCCATGCTAAAACTAAAAGTATTATTACTCACATGTTAACTGAGTCCCATCTCTCTCCATGGCTTAGATATGTAGAGGAGAAACTCTCTACAATGGGAATATCCCCAGATTATTTAGCCCCCTTTTCAGATAAACAAGCCTATGCTATTATTAAACAAAGATTTTTCAACATCGAAAGGCAAGAATTTAGGGAACGCGCAGGCAGCAGATGCTCCCCAAGTAGGTTGGGGACTTTTGACATGGGCTCTACTGCGAAGTATCTGTCAAGTTTAACAGCCCCACATCATCGCAGACCATACATATTTGCACGCTTTAATGTTCTGCCATCAGAGGTGCTTTTAGGGAGGTACCGCCAGATAACATATGTAGACAGACTTTGTCCTTGCTCTCTAAAAGATATAGAATCCACTACACACACCATACTTCATTGCCCCCTCTATAGGGATATCTGATCTCGTTTTATTACTCAATTTCTAGAGGGTAAGAGCTGGTACTCTGATGACTCAATTGTTCACTTTCTTCTGTTTAATTCTAATTGTGAAATAATGGAGGTTGTTGCAAAATTTTTATATTATGCAATCAGAAGACGAGGCTTGAATAGCCAAGTGTAAATGATTGATGCATCTTAGTATTTTCCTGTATTTCCATGATGTTTTGTGCTTTCATGCCAATAAAGGTTTTGTGTGTGTGTACTTCCCCTATCAGAAAGGAGGGGAAAGAGACACAATGCAGCAGCCAGAGGAATTAAGCAGAAGGGCGTGGGGAAAGGAGAGAGGAATGCTACCCAAGTAAGATAATGAGGCTATAGGTAGGAGCTGGAGAGTGGAAGGATGACTGGAGAGGTAATGAGGTTTAGAAGAGAGGTGCATATGGCCTGGGGCAAGAAGAAAGAATCAAGTTCACTCTTAATTTTCAAATCACCACCCCAAAAATCTGTACAAAAACCTTTTGCCCGTTGTTTATGACATGATTCACTTTCAAAAACAAGTAATTCTGTGTCATTACCTTTGCTTAGTTGAACTGGCACACTTTCAGATTTCATCATTCTTTGCTGCTGCTGTTGCTGCGAGAGGTCCACTGTGCTCCTAATAGGCACTGCAGAAGAAGAAGAAAAGCTGCTGCTGCTACCTGCAACTGGCACCGTAACACTACCTGAAACCAAGGCTGGGGAAATCAGCTTTCGGCCAAAATTTAGTAAGCTATTGGAAACTTTATTTATGTTCAGTGGTGCAACCCTAGCACCGACACTGCAAAACAAAGCAGAACAAAAAAAAAATGCTACAGTAAAACCTTTCAGAATAGTAGTAGTAATTGTTACAATAAAAATTGACAAAAATTAAGACACAACAGGATTAAGCAATGTTTTCCAGGTAAATCCCCAAATTTCCAATAGACCTCCAAGATATTTATTTATTTATTTGATTTCTACCCCACCCTCCCGGCCAAAGCAGCTCAGGGCGGCTTACAATTTTAAAACCAACATAAAATACACCTAATAACATTACAGAAATACAAATAGGTCCAGAGGATTGTTTCCTGATTGCGGTACTCACACAGAACAAACTTCAGAATAATGTCTGGCATCAGTTTCATAGTCTACTGCCTGGTGCATTTCCAGAGCATACTGATGACACCCAGCAGTATCTGTTATTGGGTGGCCACCTGGATGCCGCCCCGCAAAATCTGGCTGTGGGTCTGGGGGCTGTGTTGGAGTGGGGTGGTTAAAAAAGAGCAGACTGAGACTGAATCCTACTAAGATGGAGGTTCTGTGGCTGGGGGCTTCAGGGCTGGGGCACAGACTTCTGCTCTTGATGGGGCACCACTGACACCGGCACAGTCCATTTAAGTCTGGGTGTGATCTTGGATGTCTCCCTGACTTTGGAGGCCCAAGTCATGCATAATGCTAGGCTGGCGTTTTTTCATCTCTGCCAGACTCAACAACTGGCCCCTTTCTTGTCATGCCGTGACTTAGCCATGGTCACCTCCAGGCTAGATTACTGCAACTCACTCTACGCCGGCCTGCCCTTGAGGCTGACCCGGAAGCTTCAGCTGATCAAGAATGCGGTGGTGCGGGTCCTGACAGGAACGTCATGGATGGTACACATACAACCTGTGCTGCGCCAGCTGCACTGGCTTCCAGTAGAATTCTGAGTCAAGTTCAAGATTTTTGTGTTGACCTTTAAGGCCTTAAACGGTCAGGGACCAAAGTATCTGCGGGACCATCTCCTCTGGTATGTCCCTGGGAGAGCGTAACACTCTCTGGATAGCAATCTACTGGTGATCCCTGTCCCCAAAGATGTCCCGCTGTCCTTGATCAAGGCCAGGGGTTTCTCAGTCCTGGCCCTGATCTGGTGGAACTCTTTGCTGAACACCATCAGGGCCCTGAGGGATATTATGACAGTTCCACCAGGCTTTTGGTTGAGGACAGCAATGGATTCATTTTGTAGCTGCCCCCATAACATTGTGTCAGAATTCCAAAGGTGCCCACAAGCTCAAAAAGGTGGGAGACCTCTGCTCTAAATGTTTCAAAGAGAGAATGAGGGGAACAGCAGGGAATATATTACTCCCTCCACTGCAGATTCCCTGTTTGTTCCATAGAATTCATGATAGCCATTGTCTAGCAAGGGAGAAGGTAAGGTGGCAACAACTGGGGATATATTTGGAGTGGAACAAATATTTCTTCCTTACTTCTTATACTAGTGATTTCAGCCCCCATAGCAAAGGTTAGGTTCTCAAGTGTCCCTGATACACTTTCTCCAATAGAAGCAACTAGCTATCATTCACTTGACTATGAAAAAAAAATTAATCACAGCTCTCACTGATACTTTTCAAGTGAGGACAAAATCTTTCCTTACCCTTGGGGGCAAGAAGAAGGAACTGTCTCTTGGTGGAGACCACATCAATAACTTTCACATAGATTTATCTTATGAGTAAAGAAGACAGTAGCTTTCCAGAGATGGATAAACCAAGGATGAGGAAAATGGCTGCTCTGCCAGAACTAACAGTGGACAAATACTCCCCCCCCATTAGGTCCTCAGATAGAATGCCCCTTTCTAAGTTACAGCTGTAACTAGCAAGTAACAGGACATGAAACCAGAATGGGAGGAGATACTTTGACAAATTAAGCACTGTATATCTTTTTGGTATCTTTGAATGTTTTGATATATGGATGCAAGAAATAATTACAACCATTAAACAAAGATCAATATCTGTGTTTTAACCTCCAAGATACAAGGGGGAAAATGCACAACAATCATCAGGAAAATGAGGATTGATTATATTACAGAGTCATTAAGAGATACACTTAAAAAGCAAGGTATTAGATTTAAAAACATGAGTGTCAAGATGTGAATCCAGTCTCTCGAAAAACAATTTTGTTTCATCACAATAAGCATCGTTGACCTTGGATAGCAATGGTATATTTTTAAAGGAAGTTGTGCAATAATTCAGTCTCTGCAGTCTTTTGCTAAGATGAAAATGCTTTGTTTAAAGACAGCTGATTCAAAGACATTTCTTCTCATTATGTAGCCACTGAGAAAGCAAAATTGCTATAAATACTGCACGTTTATATGATTTAAATGAAATATGGACAATTTTTGTGAACCTATCCAGTAATTTAAATTTGAACCATATGAATGAAAGATGCACTGCTTTGTTAGCTTCTCTTTTTGTCTTCAATTTCTCCCCACAGGATAGTGGATTTCCTAGTAACTTGCATGGTCCAATTTTACATGGCTGAAGCCACAACAAGTAGGGCAAATGCCATTCATCGCCATATGCTCTCAAATCTCTCTTAGCAGCTGCCGCTGCCACATGAAACCTCAAATTCTTATCTTTCTCCCCAAATGCTACTTAAAGGTCATTATTCTGCCTTTCATGTCTTCTCCCTTCATCTGGAAATTCATCACCTTTGCCTCAAGCAGGCTTGCAGATACTTGCACTTGCACAAGCATCTTTCAGGAAGGTCAAACCAGGAAGGCTGCTGGTGCCTATCATAGTGGGGAAGCTTGTAGCTTTTTGTGCACTGTGAAGTGGGCCAAGTTTTGCCCCAGTTCTTATTTTAATTCATTATGGCCCCGGTCACATGGGAGGTTTTGGGCTGGAAGAGGGACGGATCGGGGGCGCAGCAAACGGGCGCGAGCACACCGCAACATCTGGGAATCGGCGTGCATCCGTCCCCGATCCGTCCCTTCCGGCTTAAAACCCGCTGCAAAACAAACAAACAAACACAACCCAAGTAAAAGGTAGCACCAACCTGGAACGGCGCAGCAAGTGCGGCCGTGAGATCGCCGGCGCGCCCATCTGCAGGAGCAATCGAGGCTCCCGGCTGAACTGCACATGCACACACATGCGCAGTTCTGCTGCCTCGCCCTCCCTGCAGTGGCTCCGCCCCGGCATCTGATCGCGCCGGGGAGCAACTGCGCGGCGGCTCAGAGGATCTATCTGATCCCGCCGTCGCGTGTCTCTTTTGGTGCGGCTTTAAAAAGCCGCACTTTGGCCGTTCTCCCCCCCCCCCCGTGTAACAGGGGCCTATGAATTGCTCTCCAAACAAGGTCTTCATACTTCAGTGCTGTGTACATTGGCCATACTTTTTTTGAAACTGAAGGTGTGCCATAGCCATCTGGCTTCAGGCAATACAGGAACCTTTCCCTCATACTGCCCCCAAAAGAATACCACTACCTACAACCCAATGCATGGTTGCTAGCTAAACCATGCCCCCTGCCACACGGGGGAAAAAGAACGGCCGAAGTGCGGCTTTTTAAAGCAACACCAAAAGAGACACACAGCGGCGTGATCAGATAGATCCCCTGAGCCACCGCGCAGTTGCTCCCTGGCACAATCAGATGCCAGGGGGGAAGCCACTGCAGGGAGAGCGAGGCAGCAGAACTGTGCATGTGTGCGTGTGCGCAGTTCGGCCGGGAGCCTTGATTGCTCCTGCAGACGGGTGCGCCAGCGATCTCACGGCCGCACTTGCTGCGCCGTTCCAGGTTGGTGCTACCTTTTACTTGGGTTTTTTTACAGCGGGTTTTAGGCTGGAAGGGACGGATCGGGGACGGGTGCACGCCGATTCCCAGATGTTGCGGTGTACTCGCGCCTGTTTGCTGTGCCCCCGATCCGTCCCTCTTCTGGCCCAAAACCTCCCGTGTGACCGGGGCCCATATAAACTATAGCAGTGTCCATCTGAAGGGTGCAGAACTCTCATGAGAACTTCAGGAAAACTCTTCTCAACATTTGCCCTGACTGCTGTTGGTAAGCAGTTTTGAATAACAGGTCAATGTTATTGTTATAATTTGCTCTAAATGTAATTTTGCATAAATTGCAGACACTATATGTTGAAACCTGCCCTGATCCTATAATATGGGGAGAGTGGGATTTAAGACCAATTATATATATATAAAAAAGACTAGAATGGGGAAATTCTCAGAATGCTGCTGGGTCCTTGCAGGATATAATATATGACAAATAAACTAATTCTGTGTCACTCACTGGTTTCTCCTACACAAGCAGAGGCAAGTGCTCCTCCATTTGTTCCTCTGTAAGAAAAAGTTCTATATGTCCAGTTGAGATACATCAGCAATCTTCTCCTCAGTATGATGATACTGCCCCTAAGCTACATGTGTGTCAGAGTAGCACTTAACCAGAACAGGACACTGACCGACACTATAGCTGCAGCTAAGGGTAGTAGCACTGTGATTCTTAACCTGAAGGATGACTTCCGCGTAGGCATTCTTTACCACGAATGTTGGTATTTCCCAGGAATATCCTGCTCAAAAAAGAAAAAGCACTCACAAGCACCATATGAAGCATTCATCTCAGTGTCTTTCAGTGAGTGTTCTCATGTAAATTAGTGGGTAAGTGGAGCAGCCCATAAAAATGTCTTAGCAGTTAGCAGAGTATATCCTTCTATTCTGGTCCTCTGGTAGCCCACAAGGAAGAATGGGAACCATTTTGTTAAACTTTTATTTACTATTATAATATATCCTTACAGGGATGTGGAATGGTATAACATAGCCAATCTTGTCAGATCTCTGGAGCGAAGCAGGCTTGGTACTTGAATGTGAGGCTGCCAAGGAAGACTCTGCAGAGGGACGCACAAGCAAACCACCTCTGCTTAATCACTTGCCTTGAAAATCCTATGGGGGGGGGGTTGCCATAAGTTGACTATGACTTGGTGGCACTTTATGAACAGAATATATCATTACTGTATAATATTGGTAGAACTAGGAGCATTAAAGATGGATTTTAGATGGATAGCTGTTTTAGATGGATAGCTTGTAAAAAGACTGATGCATCTTTCTGAAAACAGAGGAAAGATTCTGTATGCGCAGGAGCCCCTCCATTTTTTTCAGTGTCAAGAAATGTTCCTAGTGAAGACCGTTTTTTTATACTAACTACTCTCAGACATGAACAGAACAAGGTAGAACCCAGAATTCCACACATACATCAGTGGACGATGGAGCTCTGAACTGAGTCCAGTTTGTTTAGGATCAAGGTGTAGCTTGGCACTTACTCCTGCGTGCTTAGAACTGTAAGGTAAAGGTAAAGGTTCCCTTGCTCAAAAGCCAGTCGAATCCGACTCTAGGGTTGCGGTGCTCATCTCCGTTTCCAAGCCGAAGAGCCAGCGCTGTCCAAAGACATTTTCGTGGTCATGTGGCCGGCATGACTAAACACCAAGGCGCACGGAACGCTGTTACCTTCCCACCGAAGTGGTACCTATTTATCTACTTGCAATTTCTTGCTTTCGAACTGCTAGGTTGGCAGGAGCTAGAACTAGAGATGGGAGCTCACTCCATCATGCGGCACCCGGGTCTCGAACTGCTGAACTACTGACCTCCCACAGCCTGCAGTTCAGCGTCTTAACCACTTGAGCCACCCCAGCTCCAGCTTAGAACTGTAGCCCATGTTAATGAGGAAGACATCACTTAAGATGATTTTGATGTCATATTGCAAACTCTGTTCATGACAATCTTTACATAAAATGTCACAGATTTATTTTGTAACCTGTTCACAGTAAGTAATACTTTTTCATACAATTAATTTTGTATAATCTTTCACTAAGCAATTTTTTTTTAATTCTGTGAAAACTCAAAAGGACTTACCGAGTTTTATTCATAAAGTCTGCTCCACATGCTTTGTAATAATCTAAATTTTGTCGGAATTGGTAGATCACTGGTCTTGGGTTTCTCTACAGGAAAAGAATTGTCATTGTGACTAAGACAAAATTTGAAACTCACATAAGTAAATAAACACTGTTTAAAATTAGGTTAAAACCAACCACATGTGATTCCATACAGGTTCTTATAATAAGGAAATAGACATATGAAGCCTGAAATGTTGTATTATTTGTCTAACTCATTAACATACTGGTGTACATTATGACTCAGTTCCAGGTTACTAGTCAGGTAATGAGGTAAAATGAACATAATTTTCCTGACTAAATTAGAGGCAGCCACTAGATGGCACATGCAACCTTCTCTTCTTCTGTGTAATACACTAGATGGAGTGGCAAGTCTGAATGATCAGCCACATATATGGCACAGAACACTAAACTACTTTCCCTCTTAAAGATAGCACATTAAAAATTAAAATTAAAGATAACAAATTAATTAATTTTAAATTAAATTAATTAATTTAAATTAAATTTAAATTAAATTAATACATTTTAAATTAATAGATGCAGATGTAGTGCTCTACAAAAAGCCAAATAGGTACATTCTATCTATCTATGTCCTACATGGAATGCATGCAGGTAGCTGAATGTACAAATTATTAGTGTTGTTAATCAGAATTTTAAAATCACTTACTACTGAGCTCTCTGCTACTAGAATTTCATTTTAGAAGAAGAAGATTGGATTTATACCCCGCCCTTCACTACCCAAAGGTGTCTCAGAGCGGCTTACAAACTCCTTTCCCTTCCCACAACAGACACCCTGTGAGGTAGATGGGGCTGAGAGAACTCTTGACAAAAACTGCTCTTTTTCAAGAACAGCTTTGCCAGAGTTATGGCTTGCCCAAGGTCATCCAGCCAGGTGCAAGTGGAGGAGTGGGGAATCAAATCCGGTTCTCCCAGATTAGAGTCTGCACACTTAACCACTACACCAAACTGGCTCTCATTTTAAACATACAGAAGACTGAGACTCAAAATCATGTGGATTCTGAGGATCTGTGTTTATGGGGTTCAGTTGTCCAGCAGATGGGAATTATATGGAGTACAGATCCCAACTGGAAAGAACTGAAATTGAACATACAGGAACTTCTACCTCCTCTTAAGGGTCCAAGATGGGGGATAAGATACAGTCTAATAGGGAACGTGGGGCTCATCTGCCATATAAAAACAACTCTGGTATTGATATGTATACCAAATATGGTACTCCATCCTGGCTTCCTGGTGATTGCAGATGTACAATACACATTGAATGTGTTCACACCTTGCATTAATAGAGACCTGTGCAGATAACAAAATGAGGAGATGGAAGGTGAAGCTTTCTTCCAGGTTCTCCTATCATCTTTATGTATTGATTGGCTCTTTTCACTGAACCTATACATGTGTGCATGTTGTGCGTCTTGCAAAAAATGCAGGATACAGATCACACAAGCACTGCCTAATCATGTACAACTTGTACACATGTATGCTCTGTGCAGAGAAGCCACCACATGTGGAGCTTGGGGTAGGGCCATTAGGTGCAATTTTACTTCTCCCAACCACATGGTGATCATCACCACACTTAGTCATCTGTGGAGAGTCCAGATGTTACAACATCTTAGGTATACACTGAGCCGGCCTTGGCTGGGAGGGCGGGGTATAAATTTGAGAAAATATATATATAAGAAGAAGAAGAAGAAGAGATTGGATTTATACCCCACCCTTCACTTGGAGTCTCAGAGCGGCTTACAAACTCCTCTCCCTTCCCCTCCCCACAACAGACACCCTGTGAGGCGGGTGGGGCTGAGAGAACTCTGACACAAACTGCTCTTTTTCAAGGACAGCTGTGCCAGAGCTTGTGACTGACCCAAGGTCACATCAGCAGGTGCAAGTGGAGGAGTGGGGAATCAAACCCGGTTCTCCCAGATTAGAGTCCGCGCACTTAACCAGTACACCAAACTGGCTCTCATATAATGTATGAAATAGTTCCTATAGAATGCATAGTTTCTTCATTCCTATTGTTACATATAATTTAGTAATTAATACATTGCAAAATGGAATATATTTCAATTTGCTTTCCTAGAGCTATATCATCCTAATGCGTAGAATTATTCTAATACATAAAATTATAGTAATTTTTAAAGTATTAGCCCATATAATCGTCACTTGACCACATAATAGTTAAGAGGTCTTTTCATAATTGCTCTCAGGTCTGTCATATTTAATTAAGCACCATCCTCTTTCATTTATAATGATTACCTGATGTTTCAGTAACTACTTTTATAGGCAACACGATCCTTGGCCAGAGATACTGAAACCATGAAAGATGATCTCTGAAAGCTGTTTTAGTGCACAGGTGAGGACTGCAAAGATTATGATGAACAAGTTGCCTGGAAAACCTTATGCATCTGACACAGTGGGGTCTTGCCTAGGATGCTGATAATCTTGATGGGCTGTTTGAACTTACTGAGACCAAGCTACTTATTTACATGTGAGTCAAGTCCCATGACTGGACTGTATTTTTGTTAAAAAACTGACTTAAATGCTGAGCCAAGCAGCTTTACACTTATACAGTAACGTGTGTTATGTGTTGTAGCCTGCAGCAGCATTTGCACCTGTGTATCTAGTGATCACTACAGAGAGTCATGGTTGGGTCATTAAAGTAACTTACTTGTGCAGTACAGATCCACTTGCAGTGTATCCTCCTTGGACCTGTAGCCCGCACAATCAAGCTATATCATTTAAATAACCTACAATGCTTATGTGGGCTTTTGTATCTGCACAGTTGGTGGCATTTATCGTGTTGGTGCAAGCTCAAAAATTCCACAAGATACTATGCTGATGAAGCAGGACAATGATGTTCTATGCATGAACTGATTGAGAGTCAGACAGCTTGCCAGCCATTAATGAACTCCAGAGAGGGAGACACCTAATCAATAAATTGTTAAACATGTTACTCTTTTTTGTTTAAATAATGTGGCAAACAGCAGATGGGGCAGTGGTAGCAGGGAAACAGCTAGGGAAAAGCAGCATGTGATTGTGAATGTGCACCCCCCCCCCCCCACAACTCAGCATGTTTGAATTGTCTGGACACTAGGCAAAAAGATTCATAGAATCATAGAGTTTGAAGGGACCTGCAGGGTCATCTAGTCCAACCCCCTGCACAATGCAGAAAATTCACAAATGCTCCCCCCCACACCCCCAGTGACTGCTGTTTCATGCCCAGAAGATGATCAAAAACCTCCCCGATCTCCAAACTGGCCTGGAGAAAAATTGCTTCCTGACCCAAAGTGGTGATCTGCATTTCCCTGTGTAAGAAGGGCAAGGAGAACTACGCAGAAGAACTAATCCTTCCTGCCAAGGATTGTCAACTGTTCAATTGTGAAGACTGCAACTGTGCAAATACATCACGAAATGAACTAGGTGACGGCGAATCCCTGGCCCTTACTCATGAAAACTTATGCTATATCTGTCCCCACCAACCCTGCAGCCATGGCCAACCTCCATGTCTGCCCCCCCCCCCGAATGGGGAAGGTGGGACGGGACCATCGGGGCCTGAGAACCTAGAGCCCAACACTCCGCTATGGCAGAGAAGACAGATGTGCCCCAACACCTACCTAACAGTGGGAGATGGACCATGACAACAGACAGGGAGAACAGAGGTAAAGAGGCCTCTGATGATAACAGACCCACAGCGAAGCCCCAAAAACACCCTGCCTGCCAGGAGAGAAGGATTGCTCCTCCCCTCTAAAGTCAGCTGCATGCAGATCAGCCAGGCAACAGGTCCCCCTCCTGGAAGTGTCAGAGCAGGGAGACGAGTCGATGCAGACCCAGGCCCCGATGCTGGAGTTGCTATCATGGGTGGGGCTGGGGAGGGTGAGACAGATGCCTAGGGCTCATGCAACTCAGCTGCATTCAGACATCCCAGAGGGAGCCTACACCTGGGCCCAGGGGGATGAGGCCCTGGAAGGGGAAAAGGGGGAGGCGGGGCAAAGGGAGGGGATAAAAGAGAAGTTCCTAGGATGGCCAAGGATGACTGAAAGCTGGAGATGGGGTTGGGAGCTGAGAGAGAGCATGCAAGTGACAGAGCCCTGAGTGGAGGAGGCAGAGGGTGCTATAAATCCCCTCCCTAGTTATATCCATCCTATCTGAGGCCTGAGGAAAACTCCACAGCCTGGAGAGGTCAGGGGACAATCATGGCATGGTGGAGGGAGGGCCCCCAGAAATGGACATGCTACAATACATTTTAAGTCTGTAAGATGCCACAGAACTCTTTATTGTTTTAGTTACAACAGATCAAGACAGCCACCCCTCTGGAATGAAAGTATATTTATATTGGTGGATTTCTGTTCAATCTCTGCTAAAACAATAGTAAGATTAGTAGAAAAATGCATATTTAATTTTGCTAGTGGCAGGCAAATATAACTCTGCTCATCACCTTGGCTACATCAGATTGAACCATGCCGTCAAGGTCAGAAGTATGGGATATAAGGCCCTTTGAGATTTCTTTTTCTCTTATAGGAAGATGCCTCTTACCAGTAAGGCTGTTTGTATGTAAGACGTAAGTAAAGGAAGAAGTATACAAAGCTACCAGTAAAACCTCCCAATTAGATAGCTATATTAGCTATATTATTGTACTTCTGTTGGAGGAAGAAGGGTAAAGATGGTGTTGGGAAATATACAGTGATACTTAGTTTTTCCTCTGCTTTCCATTTTTTTATATTCCTACAATCTCAATACATAAATAATGTTCAAAAGAAGAAACAGCACTGAAACGACATAACTAGTGTGAGTCCATGATGCCCACCGCCAGAGAAGCACATTCCTGAGCTGTTTATATAGAGAAATCTCGAGAGGAATTGTTTAAGGCTCCAAAGACAAAGCGTTGCAGGGTTAAGCAAACATATGTTGCAGGTGTTTTAGGATAGACAGGTGGGAGACCCTCAAGCAATAGAAAATATATAGTTTAACAGAATGTAACTGAAGCCAAATAACCTGAATTTGATGATGTAAGAGGCGAAGAAACAGTTTATACGCCAGTA